TTCATTTGGTGGCTGTATCACTAATTTTAATTTCTGAATCTGTATCGCTGAATGTCCTTACAACTGTACTCCACTTAGACACGTACTTTCAAAGGAATGGGTGATCTAATTATTCCTTCAATCAAAATGATCTACTATAGACCTATTCATATTCAAACTCCTTCACTATTTACACATACATTCTCCATTAATGTCACCTTGTATTTTGTCACAGTCACTCAGAATAACCATGTCTCCAATTTAGTTTCATCCAGAATTTTTCCCAACACAGCAAAATCCCACCGTTTCTGTCTCTGGCAACATACGAACATGGCAGACTGCACAGATGCACTAAAAGGTGCATCTTAGTGCACACTTTCTACTTCAGAATACAAGTTTCCTTTTTATTTGTTTTCTTTAAAACTATGGACAACAGAAGACTAAATTTGCAGTGGATGAAAAGGTGTAAAAGATTTGTGCAGATAAGCAAATTTGTGAAGGGCGGACATGCAATGCCACAAGGACTTGATTGTATCATACTCACTCCAGAGTTCGAGATGATTTATGTAAATGGTGAACAAAAGTGGTCACATGTTCAACTAATGGGAAATACCATTTCCCAATGTTCACTTGGGAGAATAACTACATTCAACCCATCCTCCATTTTCTGTTTTGTAGTTAGTTTGTTATTCATTCTGCTACTTGTCCTTTGACACCATACATTCTGACCTCAATCATGGAGTCATAGAGTTACACAGCATGGAAACAGCACGTCCAGTGATGCCTACATCAGATGAATGAATAAAATAAATAATAAAGAAATTCCACAACCAACAGATCAGATACAAGCTCTGATGTTCCATCACATAGAGACGTACAGCATGGAAACAAACTCTTCGATCTAACTTGGCCATGCCAAATCAGATTTCCTAAATTAATCTAATCCCATTTGCCAGCATTTGGCCCATATCCCTCTAAACCCTTCCTATTCATATACCCATCCAGATACCTTTTAAATGTTGTAATCGTACCTGCCTCCACCACTTCCTCTGGCAGCTCATTCCATACATGCACCACCCTCTGCATGAAAAAGTTGCCCCTTAGGTCCCTTTTAAATCTTTCCCCTCTCATCTATGCCATCTAGTTTTGGACTCCCCTACCCTGGGAAAAAGACTTTGACTATTTACCCTATCTATGCCCCTCCATGATTTTATAAACTTCTATACGGACACCCGCTATCCACAATGCAGTTCTTTATCAAAGACCATTTGAAAGTCCACATACATTACAACCGCTCAGTTACTTTTGTCTGCTCTATTAATCCTCCAGAGAATTTCAGAAGGTTGATTAAGCAAGACCTTCCCTTTTGAAATCTTTGTTGCCTACACTTTGTTGTACTTCTGATTCCCCAATTCTCAATAATAAAAAAGTCTTTCAATTAAATTAACATTTCTCCTACCACTGACTTTAATCTCATTGGTCTTGAGTTTCCTACATTTCTCCCTATCTCCCTTCTTAAACATAGGATAACCTTAGCTGTCCATCAGATCTCAATAACTGTTCTATTTTCGATTTTTTTTAAATACAGGTATTTCTGCTATAATGCGTGTTTTGTTAACACTAATTGGCTGTAATGCAATTGATCAATTGTGGGTGCTGTTTGGATAACACAAACTTTCTGCTGTACAGGTATAGCAATTTCCCTACAATGCGATTTTCTACAGCGCGAGGCCACACAAGAACACAGCTATCGTGTTCAGGAGAAATACCTGTATGTGCAATAACATTTCTGCTGTCTTTTACCTGTTTTCTGTGAGCATTCTATCGAGAAATATATTCAGCTTATCATATGATCCTCCTCCTTTCCATCATAAAGGGTTTTGAAGTCCTTTTTTGATCTCTTCCTATAATGCCATGTCCATTTTGTTGAGTCTCCCTGGCACACATTGGACCAAGTAATGTTAACGTCATTCAGAGCTCACACTTGTGTGCTTACAGAACTTGTGAATGAATATTTGACAAATTTACTGTATTACACATTATTTTGGTGCCATAGGGTTTGGGCAGTCAGTTATTGAAGCTACTGGGATTGAAAGGAACATCAGCAAAATGAGAGGATGGTGCTTTCTGCCAACACAAACAACAGACTGTGATTGCAGGCTGCATATTGGTGGCTTACAACAGGACAGTATCTGAGCAGCGAGACAACAAGGTGCACAGCTGGATGAACACAGCAGGCCAAGCAGTATCATAGGAGCAGAAAGGCTGACGTTTCGGGCCTAGATCCTTCATCACCCTTTTCTGATGAAGGGTCTAGGCCTGAAACATCAGCCTTTCTGCTCCTCTGATGCTGCTTGGCCTGGTGTGTTCATCCAGCTCTGCACCTTGTTGTCTCGGATTCTCCAACATCTGCAGTTCCTACTATCTCAGTATCTGAGCACCATTGATTTACAATAAGCAGAAGGTTAAAAGAAAACATGGTACCTTTTACAACCCCACAACGGTCCAAAAGAGATATTTTTGAATTTTGATCCCTGTTGCAATATAGGAGTATGGCAACTAATTTGTACGTGGCAAACAGCAGTGAGACAACGATCAGGTATTATTCTGTTTTGAGTGATGTTCTCAAGGACTGGACATCAGGACAATAATAGAGTCATACAGTATTACAGCACAGAAACAGGCCCTTTGGCCCAACTTGTTCATGCCGACCAATAATCACAAGGATGTTACCAAGAATGAAAGGCTGAAGCTACAAGGAAAGTCGTGACAGGCTGGGACCCCCCTTCTAGGGCACAAGAGACTGAGGGGCAATCTGACAGAGGTTCACAAATTCATCTCTCTTCTTCTTCTTACCATAGTGTCCTGGGAGCTTTCACAGCCACCTACAACAGCAAACCTGATCTTGGTTTAACACCTCATCTGAAAGTCAGCACCTCCAACAGTGTAGCACTCTCTCAGCATTGCACTGAAGTCCCAACCTGAATTATACGGTCAAGTCTCCAGAGTCAGTGGAATCCACAAAACTTTGACTTCAAACTGAGATAGCTGTCACTGATTCATGACTGACACCTCAAATAGGTTTCTATTTTGGGCCTCTCTAGAATGAAATCTGAAAATCCCTTTGGGTCACTTAAACCTCAAGAAGATTCAAGGCAGCGAGTCAAACTGTATTTCTTGGCAGAAGTGAGACTGGAAGGATGTGTGCGATGAATTAGCAGTCTACAATCTCAAAGGAGCAGCCTGTAAGACATCTTAAGTTCATTGTTTGGGAATATTTGCAGCAGTGGCAATCATTCAGATGTCTGAATCTTGCTCAGGTCTGGGAGCCCAGTCTCCTGGTTCCCGGAGTTAAAGAATTAAAACGGTAAAAATTTAAATATTTAGAACTCATGAAAATGACCCGAGTGAGGATATCAGTAACAGATCTGCCACAAATTCATCTCAAAGAGTCAACTCTACTACAATAGTTATTACCTTTAATTTATATGCATTATACGTCTTTTCTTTTTTGCAAATGACAAATGCATAATCCATGATCCTAATATTCTGGAGTATCAGTGCTGAAATATTTCAGGAACAAAAATAACAGACACTCAGAACTGGAAATATAGCTGTGGGTTAGGGTTTCCAGTCTCAGTACAGTAAGTGAGGGTAATGTCTGCACTGTACTGTACAGCAGATCCCAAGACCAGTTCAGGGATCATTGTCCATTGGGGGAAGAAAGTTGGTGCATCGAACAGGGGGAGAATCTGACCTTGGGGATCAGTCTCCCAATTAGCACGATTAGAAAGACCAGTGAGTAAAAGAAGAATTGTTTCTTGCAAACAAGCTGAATCGTCTGTCAGGTCACCTCTCTCTCTTCTGGGTTAGGGAGGCAAATTTACCCCAGACACAATCTGTACGTCTTATTTCTGTCTCTGCATTGTACTGAATGGGTAGGATACATGTCAATATTTGCACCATAACTGATTTTCTGTTGAATTGATTCCATTAGTCTGCGAAACCGAGCCTCACAGCTGTTTTTCACCACTGTGCTGTTTAACATCAGTTGTCCTCATGAAAATAGGCAGTTGCTGGGAAGCAAGAAGTTCTTACAAAAGGCTTTTGCAACATTTAAGCGATTAATTTCACTACATACGACACTCAATAAAGTTAAACAGTTACATCAAATGCACAAAATATCCTTTGTGCTGATGTTACCCATTTTCCCCTTATCCCTTCCCAAAATTCAGTGTCCATCCACAGCAGTACTTACTGCTCACATGGACAAATAGAATGTTTAGATAGTGAAGAGGTCTCTGGAGCTGTTCCAGTTCAATATAAATTTTATAGTGCAAGATTTTAACTAACTCGAAACTTACTCATTTACAAAGATTGAAAATTTGCCCCATGTCTCTATAGATTACATGGTCATACTCTTAAAGCAGTTTACTTATAAATCCAGAGTCAGTTGCCCAGAGCTCCTGCCCCTTTAAATCCAGTGTCAGTTGCC